CAGCTTCTTTTCAATTTAATTCATGATTCTGTGGCTCCTAGATTTTGCTTTCCCAATTATGATCCTTCCATACCACATTTTTTTCATACTGAAACTAATTTGTCATCTTGATAAATTTTACTGTCCTTTCTTGGGTCTCTTTCTTAGAACTCTTTTTTATCTTCTTGAAGCAGAATGCTGTGGACCTCCGTGGCTTAGTACCTCACACATTCCCCAATGTGTGCATTTTTACTCTATGGGAAACAGTATAATATATATTTTTAAGATGCATTAATGGGGTGGGGGTTGTGGCTCAGTGGTAGCTTGCTAGCCTAGCATGTGCAAGGCCCTTTTTCAATTCTTAGCACCACATAAAAAAAATAAGTAAACAAAATAAAGTATTGTAACCAACTACAACTAAAAAATAAATATTAAAAATTGCATTAATGTAGGACAGAGAAAATCCAGGATCTTCTACAACTAGATGGGCTGTGTGACTTTGGGGAAGTTATTTACCAGCTTATTTGTACATTAATTTCCATGTTTGCAAAATGGAGAGAGAAGCATGTCCTCCAAACATTCATGAAAACAAACAGTTTAGTATTTAATAGCCTGACATACTGCTTTGCATACAGTAGGGGCTGAATAAGAGATGGAAAAGAAACTGAAAGCTCCCATCTTAATTATAATATCTTCTTAATTGTATAAGATATATTTAATGAAATATGTCAATTCTTTCAAAGGAATACTTTTCAAACCTCCCTCTAAGACTCAAGTTTGAGTTATTTGGTTCCAATTCATTTAAATCAATCTTTTTTAAACAAAACTCTTATTGAGTAGCATTAAGAACATTGTACTCACACATCCTAAACATAAATGCAAAGCCTCATGTCTTTACAAACGTAAGTGGATATGTGTGAGATGTACATAGAATTAGCCCACTATCTTCTTTTTAATGTTCAGACAGTCTTGGCACCTTCGAGAAGCAAGAGCTACAGCGAGAAAAGTGGGAGAGGAACAACATGCCAAGCAGAAGCCTCTCTCGACGCTCCATCAGCAAAGAGAGATGGGTGGAGACACTGGTGGTGGCTGACACAAAGATGATCGAATACCATGGGAGTGAAAACGTGGAGTCCTACATCCTCACCATCATGAACATGGTACACCTGACTGTTTGAGGTGGGGGGGCAGTCGGTGAAGAGATGCCATTAGAAGTGCCCTCCTGCCCATCAAAGAAAGAGGTCCTTTTAACCTGCACAGATAGATGGAGATGTGTGTGTGTGTGTGTGTGTGTGTGTTTGTGTGTTCCCCCCCCTATCTAAGTGAATACAGATGGAGATTTAAGACAAATTAGTGTTTCCCTTAAAAGCGTATATCCTGGGGAAAATGTAATTTATCATTGTATATTTTTATTAGGTACATAGCAAGCATTTCAATCCTCTTGGTATGACTTTGTCTTATCCATAATTTATGTTTTTATATAAATGAGTAAATTGAACAAAGAATTAGAGTGTGATTTTCTCAAAGTAGTTATAGCTAGAATTGGAATAAAGTTATACTGCAATTCCCAATTTTAAGCTTCCCTTTGCCTTAAGGGTGTGTTCTGCCTTTCTGTTAATAAGGGTAAAGGTATTTGCTTGAGTAACTATTAATGAAAGTGGGGAAGACCCTAGGCAATGGAAAGGTCAAAGAAAAGAAAGGGATCAATGTCTCAAGCACAGAGTCAGTCAATCATCCAGAAAGATTATCTTTAAATATCCCAATATGGGTGGAACTGTTGGCATATCTTACTTTTCTTTGTTCTATATCAAGAATCTTTGACCTATAATATGATGTGAATTCAATGGCATTACAGTGATGTTTTCCCCTGCAACATAGATACATATTACCTATCCATGTGGAGCTAACATTTTTCCATTTCTGACTCCAGGTCACTGGACTGTTCCATAATCCAAGTATTGGTAATGCAGTTCACATCGTTGTGGTTCGGCTCATTCTCCTTGAAGAAGAAGAGGTAAGGAATAGTTTCCTCTTTACTCCTCTCTGTAACTGTATACTTTCTAACTCCTTTTTCAAAAGGGTTCTTGATAACTAAGAGGTTTCCAGATAGGTGTTTGGAAGCTCATAGAAGAAGGACAATAGTTTTGTGTTATTTTCTTGGGAGTATAGTGATATTGAAGGCGAGATGGATGTCATTTCCAAAACATATATAGTTGGAATCACCTGACTGCCACTACATTTAGTTATACACAAACCAGGCCTACAGCATGTATTAAGCCAAGGCACTAAAAGATACTCCTCAGAAGAGGATATACAATCAGTCAACAAATATATGAAAAAAATGTGCAACATCTCTAGCAATTAGAGAAATGTGAATCAAAACTACTCTAAGATTTCATCTCACTCCAGTCAGAATGGTAGCTATCAAGAATACAAACAACAATAAATGTTGGTGAGGATGTGGGGAAAGAGGCACACTTATTGCTGGTGGGTCTGCAAATTGATGCAACCAATCTGGAAAGCAGTATAGAGATTCCTTGGAAAACTTGGCATGGAATCACCATTTGACCCAGCTATCCCACTCCTTGGTTTATACCCAAAGGACTTAAAAACAGCATACTATAATAACACAGCCATATCAATGTTTATAGCAGCACAATTCACAATAGTTAAATTGTGGAACCAACCTAGAAACCCTTCAGTAGATGAAAGGATAGGAAAACTTTGGTGTATATACATAATGGAACATTACTCAGCATTAAAAGAGAATAAAATCATGGAATTTGCAGGTAAATGGGTGGAGTTGGAAAATATAATGTTAAAGTGAAGTAAGCCAATCCCTAAAAAAACAAAGGCCAAATATTTTCTTTGATATAAGGATACTGACTCATAATGGCGATGGTAGGGGGAAGCATGGGAGGAATGGAGGAATTTTAGATAGGGCAAAGTAGAGGGAGGGGAAGGGAAGAGGTAAGGGGGTAGGAATGATGGTGTAATGAGTTAGACATCATTACCCTAAGTACATGTATAAAGACATGAAAGATGTGACTCTACTTTATTATGTATAACCAGAGATATGAAAAATTGTGCTCTATATGAAATGAATTGCATTCTGCCTTAGAATAAATAAACAATTTAATAAAAAAAGAAACAGTGAACAGAGGGGGAAAAATGAATGTATATGGGAGGACAAACTATATAGGTGAGTGGTTCAATAATAGTTAGGAGAGACATGAAAATGTTGAGCCTTTTATACCATTAATTAATGAGCTATGGCTCATTAACACAATTCTCTCAGATTTGGACTCTCTTTTCTGTACTTCTACCTTTTGGGAATTTCATCTATTCTAAGAAACTTACTTATCCACATGCTGAGACTCCTAATGGGTACCCGGAAGTCAAGAGCTCTTCCTTGAGATCCCTACTCATATCTAATTGCTTACTTGACATCTCAATCTGCATGTGCCTTAGTCCATTTAATCATGGAAACTTAATAAGTCAAAAATGGAAATTTTGATTATTTCTTGCCCAAATCACCTCAATTTTTCTTCCCTCCATTTCCTAAACCACCATTTTATCCATCTCTATGGATCCATCCATCTTTGTATATGTACCAAATTGCTAAGCGTAGGAGTCATTCTTGATTTCTCTCTTTCATATCTGCCAAATCCAACCGCAAGGCCCTTAGTGGTTCTACCTCTGAAGTACATCTAGCCACCCACTGCTCATCATCTCTCCAGTCATCACTTTGGTTTAGGCCTTATCATATCAAGATATGGGCTACTAGAGTGAACTTCAAAATGGTTTTCCCATTTCCAGCCTTGCCTCCATAATCCATTCTGCATAGATGATCATTTTAACTACAGCTACAGTTGATCATTTTAAATACGACTGCCAAAATCCCTTTAATGACACTCTATTTTTTTTTTTTAGCACAAATTCAAGTTCTCTTACTGCAGAGGCTTTAGTGATTTTGCCTCCATCTACCTCTCTAGACTTCCTTGTGTTACTCCCTTCCTTGCTTCCTGCCCTCCTGCTCTCTGGACTCAGGTTCTAAACACACTAGGTGCTTTGCAGCCTCATGGCCTGTGCACTAGTAGTTCCCAGTGTCTGAAATATCCCATCCAGGTTCTGCTCATCCCTCAGGCCTCAGTTAAAATGCTGTCTCGCCTCTTCAGAGAGGTCTCAGTCACCTCTCTCTAAGTTGGCCCCTCTTACCGTTTTCCATCACAGAATGATAGCACTCTCCCAACACATTATTATTCTGTGTACCTTTTGACTCTCACCTTAATTATCTCAGCCACCATCAGCATATGAATTACACAGTGCAAAAAAAAAAAATGTGTT